AAAGCTTTTTAGCGGTGAAAGAATTTTTAAAATCGGCCCAGTAGTTTTTGAGTTATAACAATGTATACAAAACTACAAATATTTCGTCTGTATATCAGTGTGCCACGTTTCTCACGCATCAAAATAATAATAATAATAATAATGTTAGACTATGTTAGTCAGTGATAAAGTAGCTTTTTAATGGTAAAAGAATTTCTGAAATCTGCGCAGTAGTTTTTGAGTTATGACAATGTATACAAAACTACAAATATTTCGTCTTTATATTAGTGCGCCATGTTGCTTACGCGTCAAATTAAAAAAAATAATAAAAATCTTAGACTATGTTGCTCAGTGATAAAGTAGCTTTTTAATGGTGTAAGAATTTTTGAAATCTGCCCAGTAGTTTTTGAGTCATTACAATGTATACAAAAATACAAATCTTTTCTCTTTATAATATTAGTATAGACTAGCTGTCACGTGCGCCTTCATCCGTGTCAAATTTTTTAAAAAATAGTAATCTGTAAACATAGTTTTTAAAATCGGCTCAGTAGTTTTTGAGTTATTACAATAAATAAAAGGTTATTACAATAATTAAAAGAAATGTTAGTAAATTAAAAAAATCCACTAATCTTAAAAAATAAATAAATTATTAAATTAATATTGCTTGTTTCCACTTTACAAATGCAAAAGTAATTGTAATTGTATTATTTCAGAGTCCGTGGCTAGCGACTGGCTGAAGGACGTGGACCTGCGCGTGCAGCGCGGGCTGCAGTTCGGGCGGCAGCGCGGCTTCATCCGCCGCGGGGACCAGGTTATAGTGGTCACCGGCTGGAGACAGGGCTCCGGGTATACTAACACCATGCGCATCATGTACGTATATTTATATAAAAGAAGTCGCCGAAAAAGCGAAGTGATCACAAAGATGTTTGCAATTGTAGATGCACTGTCTACCTTTAAATAATGCATATAAACAGAACGGCTTGAATTCGCCGAAATAGCGAAGAGACCGTTGCGTTATATTCGCAATGGTATTTGCCCTACCCTTGATAGTAAAATAGGGTAATAATTTTGCCCAAGATTTATATTGTTTTTTTTTCAGCCCCGTGGTGGAGTAAGGTGTAAATATGAAGCATATTTCTCCCCAAGTATTAGTGCAGGTTAGCAGTGATATAAAATGATCTAAAACAAGAATAACTGTTGATATATGTATACAATAAAATATATCTACTTTATTTATTAGAGAAGAGAGTATTGTGTATTTGTGGGTTCGATAATAAATGTGCAGAATTACATATGTTGTTAATTTTATTTACCTTACATAACTACCAACTATTTACCTAACCTAACGATCTGTCAAAAATGCAGCTACAAAAAAAACGATATAAGTTTCATGTAACGGATAATAGATGTCGCTAGTTGTGACATCAAGAAATAAATCGGATTCAAATTAATATAAAATTACATATCAATTAATTGTACAATATATTACGAAAATGTATGACCTTGTAATAAGAGATAGTCAGGAAAAATGTATTGGCACCATTTCAAAGGTATGCGCTATTAGTGGAATAACAGATTCTAATCTGTTGAAGAATTTTGACAAAATAATGAAGATTGCTTTAACAACAATAAATATGATGAAATATGAACGAAGTATACGGAAGTGTTAACAAATCTATACTATTATAATAAAGCGTAAACACACACTTCTTTGTTGCCTAAGATGTCAGCAATTACAGCATATTTTTTAAATAATTCTTTTTTAATAAAAAGCCCTACACTTACGTCACGCTTTAGGCTATATATTTTCACGCCATTAAACTTAGGGGGTAAATATTTTGGATAAAAACCCTAATGTGGAAAAGAGACCATTAGTTGCTGCCAACATTAAGGAAGCCATGGTTTGTCATTTTGACATTTGCAATTGATAATTTGACACATGTAAACAAAATAATAAAATTTTCATAATTTTATGCGGATGAAGTCGCACGGGAACAGCTAGTTATAAATAAATTATACCTCATACTTTTGTAGTTTAAAAATGCGTATCATCTAAAATGAATTTATGGCCAAATAGACCAATAAAAGGCATTACTTATTATTTTAAAAAAATTAATAAACGAAAAAAATTGGTTGTACACCATATAATAATTTGCGACTATAACAAAAAAAAAATACAAACAAGATAATCACTGTTTTCAATGTAAAACATACTCTAAAGAGGTACACTCCTGTCGTTCGTCGAATCCTTAAAAATAAAGACTTTTTCACTTTTATTTGACATTTTCAGCGTTGAAACTCCGATATATAAAGGGAGATTTATAAGACGCTTCTGTTTACAACCTCACAGATCGTCGGCCATTTTAACTGTTACGACCGTAACTGTCTGCAAACGAGGCGTGTACTTTGCTCGGGGAATTACTGCGCGCTCAGCGCTCACTTTATTGTTGCCAGAATTAATTGTGTCCAGATTTATTGAGTTGCCACATACACATGTTTATGTGTTAATTTCTTTCCTGGACACTTTATATTTCTGCTTGACTATAAAAATGCAATAAATTATTTATTTTAACATGATCTCTGAATAACTCTAAACTATGGTTAATAGTGTTTACGTATTGCGGCATAACAAAATAACAGATCATCCTATTTTCGTTTCAGTTTTCATTAGTAAAACTTTATTACCCAGGTATTAATAAAGACCATAACTACGCAAATTACTTCGACGATAACATTTTAAGCCGCATATACACGGTCCAATAATATTACAACGAACCCATCTTTCATTTCTCAACAACGGAAAGACCTGCACCGAATGACGTCATTCACATTGACACTTACAGTTTCCAGTATCATCACGCAAATCTTCTACGTCAACATCCGCAGCTGATGTAGC